GGGGAGGGGTATAGATGGGTGCCCTTGCAGAACCCTTGTTATTGGCCAAGTGAAATATTTTCCCTTCTTCGGTGCTGGGAATCTACACGGATGGGTGTGAGAACATTGTATCTTTTGTCCTTAATCGTTGGTGGAAGAAGGATCTCATCGAACTAATTTCGCTTCCACTCCCATTTCATTTCTAGGCACCCTGGTCCGCGTGTAATGCTTTGCTTGTATAGTAATTCCATGACATTTGTAACTCATATATCTCCCAATCCTATAAGTTTCTCTAGAATCTTAAATTCGAAAAGTTCCAATGTCTATCACCCAAGGGTGTGACCTAGTGGTCAACGAAATGAGTTAAGAACCATGAGGTCTCAGGTCCAAATCCCAGCGGAGGCAAAAGCACTAGGTGTTATCTTCCCATCTGTCCAAACCTTGGTAGACAGAGTGACCTGGTACCAGTTGCTGGTGGGAGGTAGCAAGTATCTCGTGGAATTAGTTGAGGTGCGCGCAAGCTAGCCCGGATACCACGATCATAAAAATAAAAGAAGTTCCACTGTTTTGTGCCCGATGTACTGGAGTGATTGCAATAGCTTTCTAGCTCAATATGCTAAAGATTGTCGGAAGGACATGACTGAGGGTGTCGTTACTACTCCAAGTATGCTTACAAAAAGTCCAACTTATGCTATTTCCAATTCATGCTTTAAATGATGTTGTTGCTAAACACCCCCACCCCCTTCCCCATAATATTTCTCTATAATCCGCACTCATATGGCGATATGATGATGTCGGTCCTTCACCCTCTCTCTTGGAGATCGTACTTAGCTACAGTTACTGTTCTCCGAAGGGCTGCACCTTGTTGCCAAATCTCTGTTGTATTTCCCTCTTGGCTCTCAGCATGGAGTATACTATTATGTCATTTGCTAGACCATTTAATCCACCAATTGTTTTCAGAAAGTTGGTGCTACTATGTGTACATATGAGCCAGATTCTGCCACCATGACGAACAGGGCATCCTTTTGCTTTCTATCTCCACTTTTCCCCAATATCTGCAGCTATCAGTGCATGAAATTCTTACCTCCCTCTCCTTTTCATTGTGGTCAATGAAGGTTATGCAGTGGTTTATTGGTCTGGAAAGGACATCTAACTTGATCCATGTATTTTGTTGCTGATTACTTTAGTGTCAGTTTTAGTTTTTTCTTTTCATCTGTTTTTGGGTTGGATGGTTGGGCTATGGTGATTATTTAGTGTTTACGGTGAGCTGGTAGGTTCATTCGCATGGGTACATGATGACCACGACCCTCCAAGTTTTGATGCATTTATAGAATGGTGGTGCATGTCTTTGGATAAACACAAGATTTGCTAAAAATCACCACCATTCATTACCTTTGCAGTTCTCTTAAATTCCATATGAATTGGTTGCTCATGATTAGCTTAACTGCTGATCATTATGGCATCAGATCAATTACTTGAGGGGCTTTTTAAAGATGGCTTCAGATTTTGCTGAGGCTTTTGATTCCTGGTATGATCCTCATATATGCTTAGTCTAGAGTAGAAAGAATGCAAATTGGAGGAAGAGGATATGTCCAGATATGTGGAAGAGTTTGATTTCTAAAAGAGTTTGATTTCTAAAAGTTGTTAATATAGCTTCTGCTGCAGCTGGATGAATCCTATCCAAAGCAAGCATCAAAAATTAATCTTTAGTGGGAAATCGCAGCCGATTAAAATGCTGTTACTGATGCATAAGAAACAAATTTCGTGAACAGATTCCTTTTTATTTATTTATTCACGGGCAGGCACACTAGAGCCATTTTAATTCCATCTGAACCATACTAAACTCTTAAATTACAGTTAAATACAGGAGAAATAAATTTGTATCCCTTAGGAATTGTTTGACGGAGTGACGATTAATCTTCTAAAGGTTTCAAGTAACCAAGAATCTTTATTGGGAAATTGCAGCTGATTAAAATGCCATTACTGATGCATAAGAAACATATTCGGTGAACAGATTTCCTTTTATTTATTTGTTCACTGGCAGGCACTCTAGAACCATTTTGATTCCATCTAAACCATACTAAACTCTTAAGTCATAGATAAATACAGGAGAAAAAGACTTGTAACCTTTAGGAATTGTTTGACAGAGTGATGAGTGTTCTAACGGTTTCTTATTTTATGCTTTTGGAATAAGCAGGCAATGGGCAAGGAAGTCAAGACAGTTGGTTACTTGATGAAGCCTTCTCGTGAAGAAGATTTTGCCAAGGTCAGTTCTGGTGGCAAAATGAGTTGAGAATTTACTTATCTATACTATATTAAAAGCACAAAGGCCCTTAGCGAAATGTCGCTCGCCTTTTTTACCCTTTAAAATGAAAGTTCATACTTGACAATAGTCATTTAAGCTACTCTCCTAATATTTAGATTTTGAAATCAATTAAAATTTTACCTTATAAAAATTCTTAATTTCCTTATTTGATAAAAACTGAATTAAAAGAACGAAATTTTTGTTCTTTTTCCCTTTCAAGCGCTTGGTGCTCGCAGTATTTCGCCGGCAACTTGTAGTTTGCCACATTTTTTGTGGAGTTCAACTATTATTTTCTCTCATATTCTTATTACTTTACTAATTTTTGTTTTCTTTATTTTTTTATTATTGAAAAGTTTAATAATATAAAGAAATATATTTTTATTTTCCTTCATAATTACACTTCAATATTTTAAAATTGGGATGAGCTAATATAAGAATCTGAAAAGGTATAGAATTATTCTTTCAGTGTTGAAAAAAAATAGTTACTTTTTTAATTAACTAATTAGAATTCAATTCAATTCAATTGAACTACGTCTTAGGTCATAATATTTAGGAGTTTAAAATTATTCAAGGTTAAAAAAGTTCATTATAATATATCCGTTAATGAGATAATAATTTATTTACGTATGACTTTCTAGATATATTTCAATATATGAGGTGTTTGATATCAAAGATAATAAACATGAGTAATAATGTTGCATTTTTTGAAACTACATGATATATGGTTGGTTGCGATAATAAAAATATATATAGAATTAATCTCTCAAAAAGTTATATCATCTTTTCATTTAACTTTTACAATACATTATATATATATTTCTTACTTTTACCTAGACTTTTTTTTAACAACAATAAATTTTATTATAAATATAAGTGTGGGTAAAATTTCTTTCTTTTCAAACTTAATACAATAAATGGAGGGCATCGGATTGTAAGACGTTTAATTGTATAGGAGTTACGCGATATTGTAAAAGTCGGTGCAACAAAAATTGAAGTTGAAAAGATAGAAGGCAAAAAGCGTATCAAGAAGACCCCCCCAAAAAAGAAGGAAACAACGAAGACCTAATAACTTATAAAACATTATAAGTCAAATATTATTCTTTAAATAGTATTAGCTCTAACTCTTTTTTTTGTGCCAAAATTTCAATTTTGTGTAAATACGAAGCAACTTGTACCGACACATTATTTAATATTTAGTTCAAAATTTTAATCGAAACTATTTTAATTTGATTAAAACACGATATTAATACTCTCTCCGTTCACTTTTAATTGTCCATTTTTTACTTTGCACGTCCTTTAAGAAAAAATAAATGAAGTATATATATTCACAATTTTATCCATAATAATGATAGCTTTTTCAAAAGTATTGGAAAATGATTTGGGGAATGAGTAGTTAATGATAAGGGTGTAAATCGGAAAAAAAAAAAAAAATTCTTTCTCTTGATTTAATTAAGTGGACAAGTAAAAGTAAAAATGTATTTTTAGTATAGTGGACAAGCAAAAGTGAACGAAGGGAGTATTATTTATATAATAAAAATATAGTTTGTCAACAATTTTTTATTATTGATGCAATAAACACGTGCAACGCACGGACACTAAGACTAGTTACACATAAATGGTTGTCAAGCATCCAAACTTCTTGCGTTTTCTCAAATAGTTGATGCTTTGTACATGTCTTCTCCATGACCCGGTTTCAATTAGGATTTTTTAAGTTGGTGTAAATGATGGAATGTAGCCGGTGCTTTGTACTTGACTAAGGAAGGATCCTTATGTGAAGCTTTTCTCCCAATATTATATTTTGAAATTGACATGTGCATTATGTTTTGCAGAGAGGTGCATTCCCCTTAAATCCTACACCAGACGGATTAACTTTTGTGGCCCTTAACTACGAGCTCCCTATGTCATGGCAGTTAAAAGAAGTTGACGGCATTCTACATAAATCAACTGATGACATCATTGCTGTTGAAATGAGCAGCTCTTCAGATTTTGAAAACAAAGTTACTTATACAGAGGGCATGGAACAGTTACAAAGGTGGCTTCCTGCTATTAACTTATTACTGGTTAATAATTTACTGCAGAATAAAAAAAAGGGTGAAGATCTTTACTATATCTCCTTTATTCATCTTCAAACTTCTATTGCAACTACTTGATTAGAATCTCGATGATGTTTGTCATTTCTTTCTGTGATTCGTCTTAGCATCCTTTAATTTGACGATTGAACAAAATAAATTTCATAGTTATATACCATACATTGGAAATCTACCCAACTAAGCTCTCTTTAATCAAAACGTCGAAGCATTAAGTTGTTAAAGGAAATCCAAGGGAGCCTACAGAGGATGACTTGGAGCAATAAAAAAGATTTAATGCTTTCGTTCGTTCTCTCATAGCCTCTTTGATATTGATTCTTTTGTTGATAACAAATTGTGGATGCTGTTTGTGGATTCTACTTTCTTGATGGAAATGATTTTCTTCCCAAGCAGCCGAATGACATCTTTAGTATTTTTGCATGTTTTTTTTGTGATTGTTTTTGGCATGTTTCTATATATCTGAAAGATGCATTGCACCATGTTGTTTTCAGCTTGAACTGATAATGAGTGTTGAAATAATTTCTGGTAAATTGGATGCAAGTTTGTGAACTTTTTAAAAAAATTCTGTTTGAGTTTCATGTCAGTGAGTTGGTTTAAATTTCACTAAAACTCCTGCAATTATTTTCTGCTCAGGTACATCAGATGCCATCCTGACTGTTGTGTGATTGACCCATTCAGCAACATTTATCCTGTTCTTGATCGGTTGAAAATACAGCAGACTCTAGGTGGTTTGGAAAATCTTAATAGCAAAAGCTGCAGTAAAATCAGGGGTCCCCATTTTCTAAAGGTCCTCTTTGCTAAGTGTTACCCATGTTATGCTTACATTATCTTTAAAATGTCCTGTGAAATCTTTGAGACAGCAATCCCTAATCTTTTCTTTACTGACCTTTCATAATTGCTTCATCTGTTTCTTTATTTTCTTCATTCAGCAGCCTACCTTTCAGAAACTATGTAAAGCAAGGCCTTATCTTGGGGTTTCAATTCCAACAGAATATATGACCACAGACCATGAGTCATCATCTAAAGTTGTCAGATCTTATTATAAAAATGTGTTTTGAGTTGGTGCTATAGAGTTTCTGATGGAGTATTTAAATGGAGATAACAATAGTGGATCAGTTTGGTTAGTCCAGGAGTCAGTTTAAGGCTTTTCCCACTTTTTGAATGAGAAAATCAGTTGCCTCTTTCGCTTGTAAAAGAAAGCACCATCCAAATTGAACTTGCATGGTTCGATAAAATTGTTTTTACAATGGGATTTGTTCACACAACACAGTAGTTGATATGAATATCATAGGGCCTTACCTGACAATAAAACCAGTCCGAAACTAAAGAAATGTTATGCTAAGACGAATCATTGTAATTGAATTGTGTGCCAGGGTTCTTTTGGTCTAATGACTCATTTGTTGGATATTCAACCCTGTAGTATGTAGATGCTTATGCATCATTTTGGGTTTTTATTGTTTTTTCATTAAGACCAATTTCTTTCAAGTTAAAGTCCGCCCTGATGCATTTTGGTGCAATCAGAGAAATATAATTCATCTATAAGTTATCTTGGGTTGTTTGAGTGCACAGTTTGAGGGGACAATGTTCTTTTCTGTCACCATTAGGTTTGGAACACTGCTTTCACTGTTTTTCTATAAAGTTAATCACTTTGTTCTGTTCTTATCACTGCTTAGCTCGGGTAGGTTAAATTTAAAGTTGAAAATCTAATTTAACACAAAAATTTCAAGATTTTATCTATAGCAGTATATAGCTTTAAGTTTAGGATCTTCTTATGCGGTTGTTAATGTGAAGCTCCTTTTGCCTCATGATTTAATGCTCTAAAACCAAACTTCGAACCCAAACCGAAAAGGAAATGCTGGAACACGAGTTCATGGTAGTTCACTATAATTTCATTATTTATCATATAAGTCTGTAGGTATGAGAGCATTAGTTTTCTCTACTTGCTAGATATTTGATTTAATATGTGCTTCTTTGGGTAGGTTGTTGATTTTTGTGAGCCCGAATTGGAAGACAAGCTAGCCGATGCAAAACTGTCGCTTCCAAATATTGTAAAACCTCAAGTTGCTTGTGGAGTTGCCGACGCTCACAGCATGGTAATGGAGAACTCTCAATCCAGCTTGACTAATATCCGTGTTTCCTCTATCTCTCTCTACATTTATATTCTGAACTTATACTCTGTAAGAGGTTTGGTATTATGGATTCCTCCATTTGATGCTTATGAAGAAATTATTATGGATTCTATGCTTCAGCTCTAAGCTTTCTTTGTCTGTTGTCCTGTGAATTGTTGATTGATTTTGCAACTTTTTTTTGGGTAAGTGATTTTTCTTATGATAATCTTATCTAGAATTCTTAACGGACAGGCCATTGTCTTCAAAGCAGACAGCTACAAAGACCTCAATGTCCCTCTTCCAGCTATTGTGCAGGTAAGCAACGGGCTATATCTAATGATCATTATCATTTAATCAGCCACTTGAATGGAAGAACTGATATAACTTCCAACATTCTGCGTTAGTGCCTTGGTGAAAAGTGTTGCATATTTTCTCATCCATATTGCTCTCTTTATATGCAAGCGGCAAGGGTAGCACTTGATTGTATCAGATGTTAATTAGATTAGCGAGAGCGTTTTGGAAGCACATAATGTTGTTGCAAAGGACGGTTAATTTGCATGTCCATTTTGGTTTGCATCTGTGATGATTGTTGAAAGGATCTCCATATTTGTCATCTGAATGAAGACAAGTGTAACTGCAGGAATATGTGGATCATTCATCCACTATGTTCAAGTTTTACGTTGTAGGGAAGAAGATTTTCTTTGCAATTAAGAAGTCTACACCTAATGCTGATATCTTGATAAAGTTAGCTGAGGAAAAGGCACTGAAGCCATTACTTTTTGATAGGTATGTTACCACCTTAAATTCCCCAGTCTGCTGTATAAGCACTTTCTATGCCTCTTAAGAACACCTATTTTCGCAGCTTAAAATCTCTGCCTGTTGACAAAGACAATCAGCAAAAAAGTCAAGATGAAGATAATAAACGAATTGATCATGAGCTAGTCACTGATGCTGCAAATTGGTTGAGAAAGGCGCTTGACCTTACCATATTTGGGTTTGATGTTGTGGTGAGTACTTCCATATTCCTTACACTTACGACATATGTTCTATATGATTAAATTTTTGTTTTCTTTTTCTTTTTCTGGGAGGAAAAATAAATATATTAAAAAGAAAAGTAGGATCAGCTTTAGGAGAATAGATGTCCATTAGTAGCTGTCAATGAAGGCCATGATCTCGTTAGAGCTGCGCTGGTGAGATGTCAAATAAGGCAGGTTCACCCAGTGATTGCGGATAAGCACATATGCGTGATTTTTCCCTATCCTTTTGCCGAAGTTCTTAGTAGTGACAACCTCTAGGTACAATGAATTCTTCTCTTATGTTGTGTTTTCTTTCTGCAGTTTGTCCAGAGTGGAGAGAGGGACTTGTGCTTGTCAATCAGCAATGTAGTGTTAAATAAATGAATACTAGAAACAGACTTAACTCCATCAGCAGGCCCTCTCCTCCGCCTATGTTGCCCCTTTTGTGATCGGTTTTGTAGGTGCATGCATATTAGTCTTGGTGCTGTAGGGATAAATTTGTTTCTGGTAGAGAAGTTAAAAAGGAAAAGCATAGAAAAGGTTTAGAAATATATTTGCGTATACCAAAAACAGTCATGTTAATGGTTTCAGTCTGAACTAGAAGTTCCAAAATCTCAGCTTCTAAGCTGAGAATTTGACCCCAAATAACTAAAAAGCAAGTAATCTAAAGGGAATATTGCTCGAGCAGCACATTTCGTGAAATAATTTTTCAATGAAATTTCAGATCCAGGAAGGCACTGGTGACCATGTCATCGTTGATGTAAATTACCTTCCATCATTTAAGGAAGTTCCGGATGAGGTTGCAATTCCCACATTCTGGGAAGCCATAAAGGAAAAGCTGACTGGAAAAAAGAGCACAGAAGCAGCAATACTGTTGTAATATTCTTAGTAGCATCACTAATAAAAATGTCATCTAACAGATGCTTATGACCAACTTTTCTTTTGTTATTCACATGGTAACAACTGTAACTTATTCTGTAGATTTGAAATCCTATTTCATTCTCTTCTGTATGCATACACTGTCTCAATGAATTAAGCCACCATAAATCCATAATGAATTCAGCCATTGGTGTCTGAATTTTCTAATAT